ATGTTGTCTTTATTAATCCGCTCAGAAAGGAAGCCTTTTTCTTCTGGTTGTAGAAACTGTAGTTGTTCTACTGCACCAATGCCACTTCTCTCATATGCGTCAAATCATGTTTTACACCAAATTCTATCAAGAATACTGCAGAACTCACCGTGGAATGGAATGTAGAGAATGCATTGAAGTTTGTAAAACTGCTTTTGTTTGTCAGAATCTGTATCCAGCTTGATTCGTGGAAAAATTCTGACAACTGCATGTTTTTTACGACAAATGAACCTTTCACCACTTTTATACCACCTGTTTTATACCACCTTGACTCTTGAGCTCCCTTTAATGCTCACGCCTAACCCGATCACTTTGTTTTGAGATACGAGGCTTAGCAAAAATAAAAATGGCGTCTTGAGTAACCGTTTTAGCGTGCAGCGACCACTAGATGACGCTTCTACACGTGTGTGCAGGAGGCAGCTGCCAAACAAGATTAAGTATTTCAACATGATATGAGAGACATTTGGGAATAGGGTGAAGGCAGCTGTTAATTAATTAATTAATTAACGTAATCAAGAGACTGGAAATTAGAAAGCTGATCTAAAGTGTCAGCCCCTAAATTCGTAATAATTAAGTTTTTCGGACAAAATATTCGTATATTTAACTGTTTCAAATTAGAATTTAAAATACACTTGTTGCAATTTTTTCTTTCTTCCTTAATTAAAATTAAATAAGCTTTTTAAAATTTGATTTAAATAAACGCAATCGAATATAAATGCTGACAAGCATCCATTTTAAAATAATTCCTGACTAACTTGTAAGAGGAAAAAAACATACAGTTGGCCCCCTATAACACTGTTGATAATTCCGTTTTATTTGGATTCCATGTTGAACGAGTCACTTAGATTTTACAAATACGTGTGCCAGGCTGTGAACGGCTCAAGTATTTGTAAAATCTAAGTGACTCGTACAACATGGAATCCATATAAAACGGAATTATCAACAGTGTTATAGGGAGGTCGTCTTGTATAGGGGCTATATGTAAAGTTTTATCTTCTAATCTTTGAATTCCTGTCGTTAAACTTGAAGTTTCCTTGGTTTGCCTTCTGAAATCTTCTGTTTTATGGTCAAGGTATCCAAAAACCACTCTCTTTCTTCTTTTGTTTCAAACGTGTTGTTTTGTTTCAGCTGTCATACACCAGTTTTTAGGCACTAAGCCATGCTTCCGATTTTTGTGGTTTATCTTTACCTTTACATATATATTTACTTTAATTACTGAAATAGTAAATGAGTATATAAATTTCTGAAGTTATATATTTATGTTTAATAAATAAACCGTATATTATAACTACGGTAATATAACGTTTCCTTATTAAATATATACTCGTGTAAATGTTGTTAAAAAAATTAAAATTAATTTTTTTACACATTTATTCAAAATATGTTATGAAATTTTTAAAAATACTTTATATTATTAAGCAACCTAAATCAAATTGTGTATTGTACCATCTGTTGTGAGATTTTGTTATAAAAAAACTATTATATTTTAATTACTGTAAAATGGCAAAATGCTTAATTTTGAGGGTATAAATGAGTTTCCTAAAAGCGTGTAAATGTTAGTATTGAATATAATCTTTATTAGGTCTTATCCCTCTCGATATGTAACTTATGACACTTTATCCCTTCATTCTCTCAACCATAAACCACGAAAGTTCATTAGCCTCAATGCATCTGATATACAAGCTATCATGACAAACATCGTTTCCTAATCATTATCCCATCGACTGTTCATTAAATATACCCAAATTTGAATCACTCCTTACTCTAGTTATAAATTTAGCCATAGTAAGGGAAGAATGCCTCTATTATTTTTTTACATCCTAGTCTAGTTCCTTTATCTAAAGCCTTTTAAACATCTAATCCTGTTGCGCCAGACAAAGCTGTTGTAGCAAAAGTGGTTAGAACAGAAATTAAAAATGGTGATATGCCTCCTTTCCCTTTTAATTGTGTTCTGTTTAATTTTCTTTTCTTTTCTTCATTAATATCGTGACCGTAGGGTCACACTGGTGTCAGAAGTGGGATTCAATCTTATATCCTGTCTTTGTTCTCGATCCTCGCTCAACCAAACGATGTGTCTCCAGGCCCTCACGAGTCGTCACTCAGTCTTCCTCAGAGTTGACATTGTGGTTTAGACTGTTGACAGGACTGACAAGGGACTAAAGAAGTGCCAACCGTCTGGTCACAATATGTTTCATTTGAGCTTTAGACATACATATAGTTATTAAAAAATTAAATTTCTCTACTTATAAATATATTTGTTCTTGACTTTTAATACTGATATAAATTTATTTTTTTGAAATTCATTCAAATATACATTTACCTCAATATAATTACACATTTATTTAGAAGGAAATAAGTTACATTATTCTTTCACTGTGTCATTGGTTATTTAATTCGATTTTAATAAATTTAAATTCATAGACATTTGTTTGCACCTAACAGTTTATTAGTTAATTTATCATATTTAACAAAGTCAAAAATAAAAATAAAAAATATTACAATATATTCCAATAGCAAAATGAACAGCTAACAGATTATAATAGAGAGAAGATGTAACACTATATCCAGAGGCAACACTCTTCAAACAGATTTACAATTAATTAAAGGTTTACCGAGCAAAACTGAAAAAAGCATACAAAAAATAAACTAGAAAGGAGTTGCTTAACTTTCCCCCCTGCAACATTTAAAATTTTGGAGGAGCCATCTTTTCTCATATTTTATTAAATCATTTTTTATGTTCTTAGTCATTATAAGATGGAAAAACCTTAATGTTGAAGGCAGGAATGTGTTTTATAAAAAATTGTAAATGCAAATAACGTATAAAATCGTCATTAACTCTGACTCTACAGGAAATACACAAAACCCACTTTATCTCCTCACCACTTGATTTTTAATTCACAAAATTTAACAGCATCAATTTCTGCAGTAAACAAAATTTTCGAAATCTTAAAAAATCATAGAAATTATTAAGCTTCAAACGGGATGCCACTCACACACAAACATATCCATAGCATTCTACTGAAATTACCTCTCAAATTTTTTTTCTTTGTTTTTTGCATTTCTCCACATTTCAAAATGTCCTACATTCAAAAATGTACAAATCTGAAGTTTTTTCTTGTGGTATGGCCATACTTTCTCTCTGGTTTTTATAACAGCCAGGAAAGTAAATATGAAAGAAAGAAATTCTTGATTGCAACAACGGATGCATCTAATGCGTTAATAAGTAGATAATAAATTTTTTTTTAAAATACGAACAAATAAACATGTTATTTATAATCCAGACTTTTTATCATCAATTTTTAACACACGATATATTATATCGCTCGTATTTTATAAATTGATATCTAATAACTCATAAAATTTCAGATATAATTAGATACAACCAGCGCTGTGGAGTCGCGTAAAAATCTATCGACTCCAACTCCGACTCTTCCTTACCATCCGACTCCGACTCCGGCTAAAACAGCAAAACTTCACGACTCCGACTCCGAGTCCACAGTCCTGCCAGAGCTGTGGAGTCGCGTAAAAATCTACTGACTCCAACTCCGACTCCAACTCTGACTTTTCCTTACCAATCGACTCCGACTCCACCTTCGACTCCGACTACAAAGCCCTGTTTACAGCAATTAATAATTATTCCTGGTATAGAATTGGCGTAGTTTCTATCATTTAAGAATTAAATTAAACAACTACTGCAATTTATTAAGAAAGAACCCCTATACTTTAAAGCAAGGTAAGAGTAAAAAGTTGTAAAAGCTAAAATATAGTAATCATACAAAAGCAATTAGCAATATACGTACTAATAAGTCTGTATACATTTATTAAATTACTGATATTTTACCAATATTTTATCCGTCCATTAAGAAAGTATTTTATTAATCGATCCATACCATTATAAATTATGCGATATGCGATATAAACGAGATCGATATTATATAACTCCATTTACAAAGAGGAACGAGTCCTCTGATATTTATATTAGAATATTTTGTACTGTGACGATAATATCTTGTACAGTACAGCGTGTCTGGAAATCTCACATTCATACTTTAGTCTTTATTAATTTGATTGTTGTATGTAACTATAGTGTATTACAATAATACTATTACTCCACGGAATATTTATTGTTTACTGGTAAAATATGATGCAAAGGGAAATTTCTCCAGATATCGTCTTTGCTCCTATTATTCTAATAATGAAAATATCCGGAGCCGATTTCTTTACAGAATCAGATAAGAAAATAAGTTTCACTTATTTCTATATTCTAACACTGAAAATATTCTTTACCTTTAAAATAATCAGTTATATCTTGATATTATACATTGGAAACGAAGACATGGCGCTACAACTCTGCGAAAATTCTATAAAGTACAAGAATAATGTTGTGGTTGTAAGAATTTTAATCACGTCTTGCATATGTTTTTCTTTAAAATATCTTTTCTTTTGGAACAGCACAAAATGCAGAAGATTGTTCAGGAATACTCGAATTGTGTGGAGAAAAATTCTAAACGAACGTAGGATAAACATAATAAATTCTTTGTTGAAAATTCAAAATAATCTTGTGTGCTTTTACATAGGCGCAGTCGGATTTATGAGTTTCGTTCAGTTAATTTTAAATTCGATTATCTATTTACAAATTAACAATTACGAATGGTCGTTCGGACAATCCGTCTGTTTGCTGCAATGTACAATTCGGAATATTTACATAATTATGAGTGCTTTCTCATATATATGTTTTCTTATATTCTTATGCGAATTTCAGAAATTACAGATTCGTATGATTCGCAAATATATACAAAATCAAACGAATCATATTGACGTAACTGTAATTTGGAATTTGATTCAAAATGCCAGAGAGAGTTTGAAGATATGCAACGTTGTACAGAATGAATTATCGTTTTCTGGAATTATTATTTTGTTGTGTATCGAATTCACATTTGGCAGACTTTTATTGTTAAATACCGTTACGGACACGCGACTAAATATTACATTTAAAATTATTATGGTGTGTGTTGCTTTCGTCATTTTCGTCTACTGTTATTTCGTGTCCAGTGTCACAGTAAACGTAAGTAACATAACTTATATTTTGTGTTAATTATAATATATATATATATTATAATTTGTATACATCTTATATCCTTACATTAAATTCCTCTTAACCTAGTCTGCCCCTTTAAACACGAAATCTATTCATTGGAACCCAGAAATTCGTATTTGGTTCTCAAAATCGCTTTCACTTCAGGGCAAAATGCATTTAAGTTTTTGAGAGTTAATAGGGAGGAAAATAAAATACGACTTATGAAAATATTTGATGTATCGATAGACAAATGCGTATATAAACGGAAGAATGATCAATTTTTGTTTTTAATTGAAGTATAATTATATTCTAGGATGAAAATATCTTTATAGAAATTTACAGTTTGTATTTTAAAACTAACAGAACAAAAGACATCAATATGGTAAGTTACAAGTGAAATTACTTTTTTACAAATTAATTTATATGTGTTTATTTGAAGATTTATACATTTTCTAAGGAAAAAAATAAAAACTTAACACAATTTTTTAGATTTACAGTATGATGAATCTCTGTACGGAACAGGAACTAGCATTAAAATTGTTTACTCAGATTCCAGTTACAAGATTATCGATATTAAAGGTATTATTTATGAAATATTTACATTTGATAATTAACAAATAGTTTAGAGAAAAATTAATTTAGAAAACAGTTTAGAGAAAAATTAATTTAGAAAACAGTTTAAGGTATTACAATAATTTAGCTAAGTGCCTGAAATTACTAGCAAACACGTGACGGTTACTTACTAGAAAACACGTGTATCTGTGTGAGACTAGGATTACATATTTGTTGTGGAATTTACTATGATTTAATTACATATAAATAAAATATTGTTAGGAATTGAAGTTTTATCTCTTTATGAATTTAGCATATACTACGAATAATGTAGAATTTAAGTCATTTTACAGTATTATCTGACACATATACACTCTTATCAACATACAAGAAAGTACGTTGAGGACTTGTATTAATTCAAATTTAAATAACTCGGAATCACTAACAAAATATTGCATTTTGATGATATGAAACCGTGCTTTACAATTTGTTTTGCTTCTAACACAATAAAGTGCTATAAATTAAAACACTTGACGGGTTTTCTCATCTTTATTTAGTTGATACGTGTGAAAAATTTACACGTTTCGGGCTTTTAAGCCCCTCTTCAGCCAACTAAAACATTAAACAAGAATATAACATACATATAAACACAAGTTTGGTAGAATTCATAAAAATATAAATCATATCTATGCATATATGTCTTATAGATTGAAGTAACAGCTTACTCTCGATATTTTCCAGTAACATCAGCTTATTCATAATATTTTTTCATTCAACCAACTATAATATTAGGGGAGTATATGACATATATATACAAAACTATACATAAGAATCTATAAAACTATCTTCAATTAAGGCATACTTTGAGTACGGTTGTTATTAAAGTTGTACACAATTGATTATACCTTTCACTTATAAAACAGTTCTACAAAATCCTTGATCTAAAACATACCTTGGACAACATTTATCAAATTAGTATACAATTGATTATGCTTTCTACTCATAAATCTGTTTCACGAAATCCTTATTTCCTTTGATACGGATTGACAATATAATACGAATTTACATAACTTCTACAATATAAATTTACATATCTGACGTCTACAATATTTTTTCAATGTATGATTGTTGGTTTATTTAACATTTCAATATTTAATATCATAGATTATTATATGAACTAATGATTTTACAATGTCTTGGAGTTGGTAGACATGATCAACAGTTAATATAAATTTACATATTATTTGACTCCCATTACAACATTACAGTTTTTTGTTATTGTTGATTTATTTAACAGTTCGATAATTATTATTAATTAGCACATTGCTCACAATAATAATAGTTTGGATCTAGTGAATACAATTAATATAAAATTTTTAACCAGTTTTCGTTTATAGAGATGCTAGGATTTTTATTTATACTATTTTGATTTTTGATTATTTCTATACTTTCCTTGAATTTTCTTTTGTATGTATCTCTTTCTCTGTGTAAGATATCTATATTATTTTTATTTATATTACAATTATTCAAAAGGCAGTGTTCATGAAAAGCAGAATTTAGTCTACGATATTTCAAATCGGCTATATGTTCTTTCAATCTTACTTTAACTTTACGTTTAGTTTCACCTATATAAAATTTTTTATTTTCGCATGTACACGGAATTTTATAGACTACATTTTTACTTTCTTCTTTCTTTGTTATATTTATTTTGTTAACTTGTTTTGCATTTAATCTGGAGAGTAGCTTATCATATGTCGGTACTAAATGTTGTTAAAAAAATTAAAATTAATTTTTTTTACTTCTTTATTAACTCCTTCGTATAGACCTTTTATGTATGGAAAACGAATGTACAGTATTTTATTACTGCTTGTTTAGGATCTATTCTTATTGTTTTATCTGTTTTTTTTTTATCTATTTCTGTTTCCCAAATATTAAGGATTCTGTTTGGGTATCCTGAAAGAATAAATTTTTTCTTTAGTGTATTTAAATGTTCGATTCGTTTAGTATTTATACTATTTCTATTTTTGATTTTAGTGTATTCCATATTAAATATGTTTTGTTATATATGAAGTGGTATGTTAGAATTATAGTTAACTGTGGTATTTATTAAGCACTGCTTTTTAAACGGTTCAAATTCGAGATTTGTATTATTTCTTTTAATTGTAATATCTAAATAATTTATGCTGTTGGTAATTTTATCATCTTCTTCTATTTTAAATTGAATATTTTTATGGATATAATTTATTATTTTTCTGATTTCATTAGTGTTAATTTCGACTTCATTATATATTATTAGGACGTCGTCTACGTATCTTCTGTAGAACTTTATACCATATATGTCACTTATTTCTTTGTCTATCTCTATCATTATGATCTCTGCTAGTTTCGGTCCTATTACGGACCCCATACTAATTCCACTATTCTGTGTGTAATATTTACTGTTTATTTCAAAGTAGTTGCTTCTGTAGGTAAATTCAATTAGGTCTATTATTTCAGGTTCAATTTTAAGTTGTGTCAGTTTTGGTTCAATTATTTCCCATATTATGGAAGGTATCAACTAAATAAAGATCAGAAAACCCGCCAAGTGTCTTAATTTATAGCACTTTATTGTGTTAGAAGCATAAATAAATATATAAAAATATTGCATTTATATTGCTTATAAACATTCAAGAAAAATAAACAATTGTTTCTGTACATACAAAAAATATTACACTAAGTATGTTAACAGTTTAAACTGAATGGAGAGATGTGATAATGTGATAATATATGACTCCATGTATTATCATATAGTGGCAGCGATGAAGTAGCATTGAAAAAGGAAAACAATATTTGTCACGTTCACACTCTCCTACAATCTTCTCATCTAAATGAGTTGATTTTTTATGTAATAATATTTGATGTATTAAAATAATTATTTTATAATAAAATAATAATAATAATTATAATAATATATCTGTATATTTTAATTTTATTTTCAGATTTTAGGTTTCTTTTTAACTCAGGTTTTCGTAGTTTCGCAATTGTTTGACAATTTTACTTGAAAAACCATTAATTAAAGCGAATGTCAACTATTGAAATGTTGTATTTTATATATTTAATGTCATGGTAAATTGCACACTTTTATTTTTTTGTATATTTTAAAAAATACAATTTATTAAATGTTAATAATATTTGTACAACACAAAGTGGATCGTAAAGTGTATTTATATTTAATTAATACTTTTATGTTACTTGGTTTGAGAAAAATAAAACTGAGAATATTTACATAGAAATGAGCTTCTTTATTATAAATACACTAAAACCTCGATATAACAGACTACTTCGGGCGAGGAGGTATCTATTACAGTCGAACTTCCATTATATAATTAAGTAAGTTCTCCAAATGTGCTGAAAAATTAACAAATTGTTCTACTATTTCGACTGTTACGTGCAGTACACACAATAAGGGAAAGTATTAAAATTAATTCAGTGTTAATTTTTACATATGGACAAAAAATTATGCCCCTTGAACACGNAAGTACGTTAACAGTTTAAACTGAATGGAGAGATGTGATAATGCGATAATACATGACTCCATGTATTATCATATAGTGGCAGAGATAAAGTAGCATTTAAAAAAGAAAATATCTGTCACGTTCACACTCTCCTACAATCTTTTCATCTAAATGAATTCATTTTTATGCAGTAATAATTGATGTATTAAAATAATTATTTTATAATAAAATGATAATGAGAATTATAATAATATATCTGTATAATTTAATTTTATTTTCAGATTTTAGGTTTCTTTTTAACTCAGGTTTTTGTCGTTTCTCAATTGTTTGACAATTTTACTTGAAAAACCATTAAGTAAAGCGAATGTCAACTATTAAAGTGTTCTATATTATATATTTAATGTGATGGTAAATTGCACACTTTTAATTTTTTGTATATTTAAAAAAAATACAATTTATTAAATGTTAATAATATTTGTACAACTCAAAGTGGATCGTAAAGTGTAACCATATGTGATTAATACTTTTATGTCACTTGGTTTGAGAAAAATAAAACTTAGAATATTTACATAGAAATGTGCTTCTTTATTATAAATACAGTAAAACTTCGATATAACATACTACTTCGGGCGAGGAGGTATCTATTACAGTCGAACTTCCATTATATAATTAAGTAAGTTCTCCAAATGTGCTGAAAAATTAACAAATTGTTCTACTATTTCGACTGTTACGTGCAGTACACACAACAAGGGAAAGTATTAAAATTAATTCAGTGTTAATTTTTACATATGGACAAAAAATTATGCCCCTTGAACACGTTTAATACAGCACAAAAATTTAAACAACATTAACCACTTTGATTAATAAATAGTTAATAATATCGTAATCTAAAATTTACAAACTCGTTTACCATATTTAGTTATTTAAGAAATGAATTGAAATACAATCTATCGTTAAAAGAAACCACTGTAGACTCTGTTCTATAAATCAACATCATTATATTACGTATACAAATATGGTAATTATTTTATCAAAATACCTCGACATTGTATGAAAATTTATGTATAAAGATCGTTAACGTTTGCAGCAGATTCAGTTCTGATTGCAGATAAACTACATCAAGATGAAGGTCATCATTTTCCCTATCGTAGGTAACTATTTACTCAATTATTATAAAGTATACAATTTGTTTATAGATTATATATAACTATATAAATATACTTAAGTAATAAATTAATTTTAAACACAATATTTAATTAATAATCTGTATACTATTTATTTATAGAGTAATATACTTTATTTTAGGAATAATTTTATTTGAGAGAATTGACGGATTGAAAAGAAATGAGAGAGATAAACCATCTGCAAAATATCCTTCTGATGTATGAAATAAATATAAGTTATTTTTTTTTTTTACTTTTAAATACAGTAAAACCTGTGTAAACCGTGTATAGAATATTTCTCCAATTCGGCAAGGCATTCGTTTAATTCAGGTTCCGTTTTCGACAAGTTTTACTGTATTTCTATGATTTTTTTTAAAATTAGAATTGTATTAAATTACTTTTAATGAGAAATTTATTTACAATTGTATAATATTTTAATATATTTAAATTTTTAAAAATAAATTAAAGATTTTTTTTAACAGGGAAGAAATGAAAAGTGCTCTGTTTCACCTTCGCCATTGGAAAAATTTCTTGATATTGTAAGACGAACAATAGCTAAATCAGATTGTAACACCTGCCAGGCGATGAATGATCTGACTGAAATTTGTCCGGTCATCTCCAATTCAACGTGCTTCTTCGCTTGCATTCTACACGATTTAAGTCAAAATAAATTTATTAGATTTAACTTGTACACTTCTAACTTAATAGGAAATATTGCAAATACTTTAAAAGATATCGGAATTGAGTTAAAGGAGTGTAAGAATTTTCAGCATATCGTAAATGTTATAATGAACAACTTCTTCAAACTTGTTGTGAAAATTTCTGAAGCTCGTATTAATCCTAAAATTGCACCTGAAAAATAAAATATAAAATGCTTCACGTTTTTATTGCATTATGATAACAAATGCAGAAAAAAATATGTTTAAAAATAATAATTAAAAATTAAAAAATGAATAAAGTTGTTAGACAGAGTGAAATTTAATCTGATTATTCACGTTTATATGATCATTTCGATATCGAATTCGAACAGTATAAAAGTAACAATACTCGAAGAATATATTTTAAAAAGTTTAAACATTTAAAAATTTTTATTTAATTAGCATATTTAATATTAAACAATTTCTATTTTTTCTATAAAACCAGAGCTTAGTCGATAAAATCACTGATAATCGCGGGTTCGTTCCTCAGTAATAAAAACTAACTGGGTGGCACCATTTTCTATTACCAAAATCTTTTGTATTTTTAATTATTATTAAATGTAAAAAAAGTTTAATTTCGAAGGTAGGGATGGGTTTCACATAAAATTATAAATGCTAATAACGAGTAAAATCGTCGTTAACTCTGGTTATTAACTACTCATTAACTACTGGCAGATATTCACGACTCCTTTTATCTCCCCACTCCTTCGACTTTTAACCACCAAAATTTAATAGCATCGATCCTTGTTACACTTAAACCTCTCCGCAATATTTCAAAAATTTTCGACAAAAAGCACCGGGATTATTAAGTTTTGAAGAGGGAGCACAAAATTATCCCATAACACACATATACTAACACCCATACATACAGAAAAATCTTCCAAATCTTTTTGCATTCCTTGAAGTTTCAAGGTCGGTCCTAAGTCCAAAAATGTAATAATATTGAGGGGAGGTCATTTCGCGGATCGCCATACTTTCCCTCTGTTATATATAACTGCCATGAAAGTAAAAAGTGTCCTTATCCTATCTGAGAAATAAATAATTTAAAGTAATAATATTACAAATTTTTATTATGTTACCTATTTAACAGAAGAATAGCGTGTTATATTATTAAATTTCTTAAATAATAAAATACGTAAAAAAATATAAAATTTACGAAATGACTTTTATTTTTATTTTAAACATTATAATATTAAATATCTTTGTTACTTTAAAATCAAAAATATTAAAATAAGTATTTTGAAATGTATTAAACCTTAACCTACTTTATATAATGAATATTTTATATTATAAACAACTTATGAAGTGAGATTTCAATATTACAAAATACTACTGATTTTGAACTTTGAACTAATACTGTCCGTTGTATAAATATTAGTAAATTATTCCGCTCATCAATATGAAAAAAAATTTAAATTATCTCACAGATTAATTTTCAAAATAAATAGTTGGGTAGTAGTAAAATTATAATTATATAGTACATTTTATCGCGGCCAGGTAATTGAGAGATTCAAGGTTGTTGCGTATTTTTCTGGGTAGCACATAAAGAGGAATTTCAAAAAACGACAGGAATTTTTGGGGGTTGGTTTCTGTCTATCTGATTTTAGTCCTGGTCGAACTTACGACGGGCTTCATAAAAATGGCCATCTCAGCACTCACAGGGCGGAAAACTGATTATTTTCTAGAGAATTGTATAACGCAAAACAAGTGTGAGGTCTCGACCATAGGTTGAAACCTTCACCAATATCAGTAATAGAAGAATCTTCTTCGCCTCACCTGGCCAGAGGAAATCTTCCCACAGAGAGCCGTAGAAGAATTCCTAAGACAAAGAGGTTCTCCGGCTGAGACCTAACTACGAAAACCCACAACCGTGCGTTACGTATCTTCTACCAGGAAACAGTTTGATAGAACATTGATTCGCTGAGGAAGTGACGAACTTGGGACTATATAAACGTACGAAGATCGTATCTTGTCGCGTTGGATTAGTTTTAAGAACTACGGAAGATGTGTCTTATGTAATATGCCTTTTCTATATTAACGAACGGTTTAATTGTAAACGCAGTTCGTGTCTGTTTCTAACGCCATCCTGAAATGACACTATTTCCTTCATTCAAAAAGTGTGAATCTCAACTTTAGAAAATCGCAGGCCCGTGATAAAACATCACGGAAAACCTTCACACAAGGGTAATCTGCAAAGGGGATGTCTCCAGCGAGGATATTCAGCGAGAACGTAGGTGTTAGAGACGAAAATAAAACTCAAGTAATCTACGTGGCCAGCTTATTTATTCGTTGCCAACCCGCGATCAAGAGAAAGTGTCGAAATAACTTATACCAACTTCCAAATCTGTTTACATAAAAATAGCGTAAGGTCGCCACTAGGAGCGAAAGTAGAGCGGCTATTTTTGCAAGTCTTCCTTATATATATAAAATTGAAATTACTTTCCAGTGCGTTTTCAAGTTTGTTTTCCTTTGCACAAGTTGCAAGAGAACTAAACGTTATGCAGTATTAAGCTTTCACGAGTTTCCCAGCTATAATACTCTGATATACGTAACACTAATTTAGGCAGTGATCCCTATATTCGTAAGACCTGCAAGAAATTATGTGAAATTTTTGTATTACCTAAAATCGAATAAATAAAGAAATGGTATGCTTCGAAGAAATGCTCAAACTGTGAAGAGCACACACAATTACTATTTGAAAAAATATTTTGAAATGTATTAAACCTTAACCTGCTTTATATAATGAATATTTTATATTATAAACAACTTACGAAATGAGATTTCAATATTACAAAATACTACTGATTTTGAACTTTGAACTAATACTGTCCGTTGTATAAATATTAGTAAATTATTCCGCTCATCAATATGAAAAAAAAATTTAAATTATCTCACAGATTAATTTTCAAAATAAATAGTTGGGTAGTAGTAAAATTATAATTATATAGTACATTTAAATTACAAATTTCAAAAAATATAATTTTTCAAATTTACATGTTATAAATATAGATAAAGAAGACAGACTAATACGAAATACACTAAATAAGAAGTAAAACTATAGAACAATTTTTAAATTATGTCATTTGCTAAGCTCTCTTCTGATAAATGTGTATGTTTTAAATTAATAAATATATATCGATATTAATTTAAATTCACTATTACATGCAGCTATTACAAATAAAGTTCTAAACGTATAAATTTTTATGTAATTATTTAAATAATGAAATTCATCACTACTCTGCAAATTGAGCATTTTGCTATATCACGATAATTAAAAAATATAAAAATGCTTTATAACAGATTACAAAAGCTCATAACAGATGACACCGCAATACAATTTATTTATTATACAGGTAACCCCCCGTATAACACAGTACTTTTGTAGCACGAGTTCACTCTAACACGATTCGGGAATTGGATAAAACCCTCGTACAACATGAAATGTAATAAACGGTGCGTTCTTTTATACCTTCGCGTAACTCCGCGCGAGCATTCTAATTGTTTTCGTGGCTACTTTGAAAGCTTTTTCAACAATAATCCGTTTAATGGTTAATTTTACAATTGGGATTCTTCTTTTGCCTCTAAAAGCTCATTTTAGAATTATAGATTCCTCCATCACGATGCTATCGATAGTGCGGCAGCCACCATCTTTCTTTCACCGTCGTTTCTAAATGCCTGCAAACAGCAGCGCACTCCCGTTGCAGAGCGACCGCTATTAACGAACGCACCCACAAACTGTTACCAGTTGATGATACTCATGCTGAGATCATCATATAGGATGAATAATCCTCTGGTAAAGTGTTTATTTAAATAATAAATATTTTATCAACGAAAAAAAATGAATAATAAATCCAATTTAACAGCATCTATTTTTAATTTTTGAAACCTAACCCCTCCCTTTTCGCACTAGTTCTTTGTTTCGTATAACACGTATTCGCATAAGACGGCAATGTTTTGGAACGTAACTCCCGTGTTATACGGGGTTTACCTGTAATTAAAAGAATACTGTAAACGTTATTTTTTAAATAAAATCTTAGCCTATAACAACGGAAAAAGTAAGTCGTTGCTGCATTTTTACATTGCATCATTACAGCATGACAATCGTGCTGTGAAGTTGCAATAGAAACTTTTATTTGTTTACTATTATTCAACCAGAAGAATTTATTTAATATTACAGAGCGGCTTTAAGGTGCTTCCATTTTTTATGCAATAGAGTGCTTCTCTACGTCACTGTCGTATTTTGTGTAATACGTAAGATCAAGATGACGATGCTATCGCATGATACACACAAGTTTCTTATAATTCTTTTAAGCACTTGCATCAAGCTAAGTGAATTTTGCTACTTAATTAAATTTATTTATTATTGTAGAAAATCGAGGCTTTTCTTATTTTCGTTTTTTATTTTTACCCGAGAGCCTTTGTTGTAACTTATTTTGTATTCTAGTAGGATTCTGTCATCTCTTTCTCTTCGTTTTTCTCGAAATTTACAAAACAATTTTTAATTTTTCTTGACACAAATATTGACGAAACTGGGAAGTAAACACATATTCTTAATAAGGAATTAATATGGTATATTAAAATGTTTAATATAATGAGTTGCTATGATAAATAATAAACTCGCCAAATCGATAATACAAACGTGTTTTTGACGAATTTTATCGATCTTCGATGCATTGTAGTTAATACAGAACACCTCATTGTTCTCAAGTTACAACAAGTACCTATTCGCATTTAGTCTTCATCTTCTGATGCTAAACGTTATTATATTTTCAAAGAAATAATACATGAACATGGATTGTTTCAAGAATTGGAAACCTCTGTTATACAGCATGCGGCTTTTCGGACTAAAGATGGAAGGAAAAGGTTTTCATGTATACGGCATCGTGATGTTAATCCTTGCGAAGATAGTATTATGTTTATACGTTTACAGAATGGTTAAAAGTGTTGCTGTTAAGGACACTTTTGTTAACGTTTCTCTCTCAACATTCTTTCTTTCTACTCAAATAATCTCTGTGTTATCCTCTGTCCGCTTTCATCTCGATAGAGTCAAACTCCGCAGAGTGGTACAGAATATTTTCAAAATTTTTTGCAGTAGCGGTGTAAACAAGAAAACATTGATCATTCGAATTGCATTGATATGGCTCGACTTTATTTTCATTAATTTTCTTAACGTATTCGGTATTATTGTCTATAATAACGATTTCATTTCTTACTTTAATATAATTTTTTTTTGGGTGAAATAAACAATTATCTTTTTTACATTCTGTATTTCTTAGTCACGTTTCTGTTTTCTTCTGTGTTTATAATATCACAGAATTTTCTCTTTCTCTACTCCGAATTGATTTGTCAAGAATTGGCACACGCATTTAAAACGTTACGCTACAATATGATGCAAGAAAGTAACAAGAGGAAAGACATTGTTCGGATCGTAACGGAAGTTTCTACGCTAACTGAATATGTGAACTCGATTCGTGACGTTTATTCCTTTCAATTATTTTTGTGGACCATTCAGGTGACTGGAAGCGTAATGACTTTCTTTGGACGACTCTTAAGTTATTACGAATTTAGTTAGAGAATCTATTATTTGAAAGTGTTTTTGGTTTCCGGATTTTCGTTTTTTCAGTTTATTAACTTATGCTTTTGTACTTCTTTCGCGTACGACGAA